CAGTGTCTCCTTTTTCAGTTACAGTACAGTGGCTTGGCACTACCAAAAGCCTTAGTCCAATGTCAATTACATCAGTGTAAAAAGCCTCAAGAGCTCTAATTCACAAAAGCTGTTCACTTCACCAGAAATGAAGATGTGTAGGAAAAAATTAAGAGAATCAAGTGAGAGGATAAAAAATAACTTGAATTACATTCACATTTCTACTTTCACTCACCACATTTTCCAGTACACTAGGAAACCTCTTTGGATAAAAATGAGAGAAATATATCAATTACTTTGATTCTTTTCAACAGATCACATGCTTACCTTGTTTTTCACAAATGAGAACTAAACAAGTTGTATTTTCATCTCCTTTGCACACTCTGTGAATAGTCATACACTTGACAAGAGCTCAGTGACTGTAAGAAAATTTTTACTGTGAAGTGCTGATTTGTGGAGGAATCTTTAGGGTCAGCAATATGCATAAATAAAAGAATTTCTGTATTCATGACAGTCACAACTGTTCCACTTTTATTTTTTTGGTCACATCCACAAATGGGACACAGTTTGACAGCTGAGTTTAGTAGAACATTCTCAACTCAGGTTCCCAAGTAGTCACACAAATACTAAAGAGAGAACATGCCAGGACATGTTTTATAGGAGTCTGCTCTTCTTTAAACTGTATATGGAACTTATAAACTAGAGTACAAAAGACAGCTGGGAGTGAGAACTGCCTTCACTCTCAGAGACAAGGCAGTGGTCACACTGAGGTGTAACAGAAAGCTCCTAAGAATTTAGGGTGAGTTAGACCTGAATTCAAATTCCAGAGCTAGTATTTACCATTTGCAAATCATAGGCAAGTTACCTTCATCTATAAAATGGTTACACTGGCTTCTACTACAATGAATTACGCACAGTACAGATGAAATTATTCCTGTGTCAAGAAGATATCAGGTGTCTAATAATCTTATTTCTCATTTGCCAGAAAACTTTTAACATGTCACATGTAATTTAGATACAAGGAGCTCTTTTCTCTCGACTCTTACCAAGGCCTTTTCTAAGTGATAGTTTTAGGGGTCCTCTACAATTCTGAAAATCCTCAACTACCTGTGATACACAAAGAAAAACACTCAAGAGTCACACTATGACCACAAGACTAATCCCCAGGAGTCTACAGATTGGCCTCCCAAGTCCAGGCAGTAGCAGTCCCAACAACAAATGCTTGTATTTTAAAGTGAATAAGGAAAAAATTAATCTGAGCCACTCCTGAGCTGGGTATGATGCAGCTAACCTGTGAAAGACATGGACAAGACACCATCACTCCTCTGGCCTGGCACTTATTTGAGGAGCTGATGATCATCCTCTTCACTCAGTCCAATCCAAATGTCCAAGCTAATCCTTTACCTGTAGGCTTGTCCTTTTGATGGTTTTTCCGGATACCAGTGATTTTTATATTTTTCTTGAAGTATTAGGGTCAATTTCTCAGCAAACCTCTCGACTGCTTCTTTTTTCAATTTATCATGTTTTCGAACTAGTCTTGTGAAAAAGAAGACTACAGCAGCAATTTCGTTCTTCATTTTCCCCTGCAAAGATAAAATAGTTTTTCTCAAAAAACTGAAACATCAAAATTTGAAGATAAAGCTCTGTGAAATATACCTCCTTTACAGCCCCCTTTCCTCCTCCCAATTTTATCTTGTGTTTCATTGGCTGATTTCTGGAGCAGCGAACAGTCACTAATTTATGCCATAAAGACCTTATTATAAAATACTGCTTAAGAATTTTATCACCTTTGTAAGGAGTTCACTAAAGAGAGCACACCAAGTTGCTCCTGTTAGCTAAAATAAAAATCAGAGATATCACTCAGAGAGAAGCACTACAACGACACCACTATATAGCTTTTACTACATGCATAAATATTTAACTACAATAATTCAAGTTTAAAACTCTAAGAAATAACTTGTACTTTAAAACATAAAAAAGTCCACTTTAAAATCCAGTATTGTAGAGCCAATATAGAAAATAGTTTGGCAGTTCCTAAAAAGGTCATATATATATATGGCTACCATATGACCCAGCAATTCTATTCCTAGCTCTATACCCAAGAAAAATGAAGCCATATGTCCACACAAAAACTTGTACACAAATGTCCACAGCAACATTATTCATAATAATCAAAAAGCAGAAACAAACTAAATGTGGAGCAACTGATATATGCATAAATAAAATGTGGAATATTATTCAGCAACAGAAATGACAAACTGATAGGTGCTACAACATGTATGAAACTTAAATACATTATGCTAAGAAGCCAAAAGACCAAATACTGTATAACACTAATTATTTGAAATGTCCAGAATAAGCAAATCTATATAAATAGGAAATAGATTAGTGGCCTAGGGGTAGGAGAATGGGGGAGAAGGAGTGATGTCAGTGAGTATAAGATTGCCTTTTGAAATGATGAAAATGTCCCAAAATTGACTGTGGTGATGGTTGTACAACTTAGTGAATATACTAATACCAATGAACTGTACATTTTAAATGTGTGGATTATACAATGTATGAACTATAGTTCAACAAACCTGTCATACACAAAGAAAAAGATCCACTATGGAGCTTCTGTAAGCATTCTTTCAGGATCAGAGACACATTTACCTTAAATGTGACCAAAAAACCCAGCTCTATCAAAGCATATTTTAAATAGTGGAAATTCAGGGCCATTCATGGAAAATCAAACTAAAAGGAATAATTAGAGATTCAGCTGCATTTTGGAACTGCCTCAAGAAGGATTCTTTTTACATGTCAAATCTTACTTATCATTGATTAATCCATAAAGGCAAAAACCTTGTATTGGATATCTTGCACTGGGATTGTTTCAATGTATATTCTGTCTTTACCGGATGAGCTCATTCATTTGGCTGCTGTAAGTAACTTGGAGTTATCAGATGCTGCATTTACTAAGCAACACCACCTTTTCAGAGCCAATTATTAAAGACATACAGCACCTGCTATGTTTGTTGTAAAAACTGACTAACCTAGCCTATAGTTCTTTCAGAAAAGCTGATTCTGTTAGCTTCCTTTTTCTTTTCCCAAACCTCCTCTTAAAGTCTGTCTTCATAATATGATTCCTTTCCTCCTTGTGCAAATTCAAACAAGGGATGTCAGTGTGAAATAAATTCTGTATGGTATTTTATAAGTATGCTGGCAGCCATAGCTACCCTGATCCTAGATGGAAAGACACCCAAACCTTCCTCCTGGAACGCTAGAATGGGTTTTTTCTATGGCCAGCAGCACACAACCCCAGCCCGCTGCAACTGCTGTGCAGCCTCCTGTTGAAAAAAACGTCAGCCATTTCCACGTATAAAGCTATATTTATACTCCACCACGTTATGATAGAAAAGAAAACCCACTGCAATTTAATATATGCTTTGGGATGAAACTTGCTGATGGAACTACATCAGCCTCCACTCCACCAAAGAAAACAAGGAATCACGCTAAAGAAATATACTCCATCCCCAACTAACTCATTTTCTTCATTCAATTTGCCAACTCTGCTCTACATATCTGAGTTTGGGGTTTTGTTTTCCTTTCCCGCCCCGCCCCCTCCCCCACCCCCGGCCCTCTGTTTCACATCAGAAATAAAAGGAAGAAAGGAAGGAAAGAACCACTTAGTGGTGGCTTTGGGTTGTAACACAAGATGAGTCATAAGGAATTATTCCCGCCCCCCCCCCCACTTTTGAAGGAATGGTGTCTGAATTGCTGACAATTTAACCCACCCTCACCGGTGGGTATTCCAGAAGGATCCGAAGGGTACCCCCCAGAGGGGAGAGTCATAAAGTCAGGAAGCAGAACCCAGCAGGGCCCAGAAGACCCGAGGTACGCAAGGGAAGTATCTCGAGTAAGGGGCCGCAAACCCTCCACCCACACTCGGAACGAAAAGCTCCCATTTTAAATCTCGCACGGTGACGTCATCCGGGGACGTAGTCACCGCGGCTGCTCCTCAAGTTCTACTTTGTTCCACAGGCTCCTCGGCTCCCGGCGGCGGGCCGAGAACCCCAAGGAAAACCCAGCCCTGCCTGCCAGGAGTTTATAACTTTGTACTTTTTCGCTCCCTTGTAACGAGAGACGAGTCGCACCCGTTTCTGGAAACAAGTATTTTTCCGGACAGACTTTCCCAAGGTTGAGGGAATCCCAGCCGCGGGGGGTGGGTGAGGAGCCCCGGACCAGCCCCGCGGCGGCAGAAAGCGGGCGCCGGACCCCGAGAAGCAGGATCCCCGCGGCGCCGGGAGTTGGGCTTTTCAAGCCCCGGCAGCCCGCGGCCCGGCACTGGCAGGGGGCTCTTGAGGAGCGCTAGGTGAGGGGGCACCCCACGTCTCCACCCACTCCTGGAAGAACCGCCCGCGAGCGCGTCCAACTTCTGCAATCGCGGTTTTTCCCGAGTTAAGGGGGCAGGGCCCCGAGCCCCGTTCCCTTCTTCCCCCGCCAACAGTCGCGCAGGGTCCGCCGCCCCCGGGCAGGTTCCAGCCTTCGGAGGCACGGCTTCGAGAACTCGACTGCCCTCAGGCGCGACCTCCGTCCACCCCCCAGACAGCAAGCCGGGTCTCCGGCTCCAGAAAACCCACGGCCGCGCGAGCCAGGCTGTCGCCCACCCCGAGCGGAAGGTAACGCGCTGTGGAAACGTGGCAGGAGCCTCTAGGCGGCGTCTCCGCCGTCGCGAAGGCCCTGAGGGTCTCGCGGAAACCCTCGAGGACCGCCCCCTTCAGTCCCCAGCGCTTCCTTCGCGCCGGGCCGGAGCCGATGCAAGCTTGTTCGACCCCGCACTCCTCGCAGTTCCCCCACGCACTGCCCGCCCGCGAGCCTTCGACGTGGCCTCCAGGGCGCCCGGACCACCCTCCTCCCGCTACCCTCAGCCCCGCCATGTCCGCCTCCTCCCGGCCCAGTCCCCTCACCGCCGCCGCCTCCGCTCTGGGGCCACAGATTCGGCGACCCCGACAGTCCCCGGGCCGGGAACCGAACGTACCGACTTAGCGGACTGGCGCTTGGTGGTAATGAGCGCTGCAAGCCTCGTCAGGTTTGTGAGGCTCCCGCGTCGTCGGGCGGCCAAGCGCGCGCTGAGAGGGCGGGCTGGCTAGCGCGCGCGAGCTAGCGAACGCGGCCCAGAAGCGACGCGCGGGGGGCTCGCGGGCCGGAAGAGGGGCGGGGCGATGACCCGGGAAAGGGATGGCGCCGCTCAGGACTGGCTCGCGCTCCTAGGGGGAGGAGCCTAGGGTGGGGCTTTCTCCTAGGCCACGCCCCCGAGTCGCCGGCCTCGCGGCGCGGGCGGCGAAGCACCCTCAATTGTATCATGCGCGCGGCAGACCCTCCAGTCCGAAGGCAAGGTCAACAACGCCACCAGCTTCCCCTTTCCGGAAAGAATGGTACTGAGGGTCTAGCGGACCCTCGCCAGCCCGACCCACCTGCTGCAGCCCCTTCGGGGGTCGCGTGGGCCATTTACCCTCTGCCGCTGGGGCCTCTGCTTCTCCCTCTCGTGTCTCCTTGTCGCCCTGCGCCCCGACACCCCGTGGCGGGGAGGGCGAGTTTTAGACCCTGCTCTGTAGAGGCGCAGCTCTCTAGACCCCGGGCTTGGGGGGCGGCGGTGGGGGTTGCGAGCAGGGGGAGTCTACACAAATCCGACGGAAGGCAGACGTTGCTTTTGTGGACAGAACCTCTTCATTGGTTTGATAATTAGGGGCACGTCAGCTGTGCGGCCTCCTGGTGACATTTCAGTTTGTTTCAAAGTCCTAGTTGGGCCCCCTCTCTGAGCGGCGGGTAGCTCCCTCGGAGCAGGGACTGCCGCCTGCTGACCTTTGTGTCCCAAGCAGACTCTGAGTACAGGGTCTTTCTGGCACAAAAGAGAGTCTCCAGGGATATTAGCTGAATGAAACCCTGAGAGTCCAACCTTTCTATTTCCCAGACACTTGTAGTCAAGGACTTCCACATGCAAAGTTTAATCTTTGAGCAAATACACATGTGGAAAATGTACATTAACTTTCTGGGGGGAAAAAAAAGAAACACCTTTCTAACGTTTCCTTTTGGCGCTATGGTATTAGTTTTGCGAGAGCACTTTACTACATTAAACAGACCAGAAAAACACAAGATATTTCTACTTTTTTCTTTTAACTGAAAGCTAGCTTTCACTGTTTCTAGCCAAAACATAATGCAAATTACTCAAGAACTTATTGTTCAAGTTATACGTTGACCAGATATTTCACTGCCTGGTAGGCCTGGGAGCATGTTCTCAGCCCAGTTCTATGAATATTTTAAGTTTGCATTACTGATGGTGAGTATAACCTATTTGCAATTCAAAACGCTAGTTTTTTAGGAGTAAAAAAGTTCCCAGACCAGTACAATAAAACTGTGTGTTTGTGTGTGTGTGTGTGTGTGTGTTTGTATAAAGTATACTGTTCTACCTGAAGCTACTCACCGGTCAATTTGAAGAGGATACTTAAATTCACAGCCTAGTCTGTTCTAGGAGATACGAAGCTGTTTTCATTCTAATCTCTTAACTGTCTGATTGAGGTTATTTTACTGTTGAAGCCTTTTCTCTCTACAATTTAATAAAATAGCTAGGCAGTGACAAACACTACTCAGAACTTGTCCAGAAATTTCTATACCTCAAGATTAGTATTTTGATGTTTTTTTATAAATCTGTGACCCATAAGGTCCAGTCTTAGAACACTACTATATTCAAAACACACAGGAATACCTGAAACCCAATTTCAAAATCCAAAAAATTCTCATAGCCTTGAAACTGGGAAGCAGGTAATTAACAAACTGTCTTAAACACTTCTCTCTCATCAACCATTCTCATGCAAAGTAACTGCTTCTGTGCCTCTTTTTCAAAACACTCTACTCTTCTTCAGTCCTGGCTGTGTGCTTTAGATCTTTCTCCCTCAGCTCTTTCCTCTTAATTCAGAATCACACAAGCCCAAAAGAAATGGTCTCAATGCAGGTCCCTACTCTAGGAGGCTGGAACAGGGGAGCAGAGCTGATACAAACAATTACCCATTCAAATGGGTTTTTTCCTTTCACAGTTGATTTCTTTTCTCAGTTCACTCTAAATGTTCATTAAATCATATATTAATAGATGTAGTTTTCTTTTAGCACAGCTGTTTCCTTTGAGAATGAGCCACCTAAATGAGCCTAGGGCAAGGGCTCTATAATCACACACATAAAGTCACAGAGACCATGACTCAGTAATCACCAAAATTTCAAATCTGTTATTCCTTCGAGCTCAGAAAAATTCAGCAATGAAAGCAGAACAGTCTCAGGTACCGTCTTCTCAATCCACATTTCAAGTTTGGATCTGAATACAAAACTGCCCACTTTTAAAGTGGACAGGGAGAGTTCTGTTATATAACAGGGGAAAGTGTGTGGCTTTTGAGGGCCTTTGGAGGTCTACCAAGTGGGATTTAAGACTTTTTAATTCTAAAAACACTTCAACATATTACTTCAAAAATTTCCAGGACCTAACCACTTGGATGAATTGAAAGAAACTAAATCAGCTTTCTTTGCTTCAACTTCTTAAATATCCATAAACTGGCAGTAGTTTAAAACAACACAAGCATAAAGAAAATTTGTAATCTTCATTATTTTCTCCATTACATCATGCAATAAAACTGACTTCCAAGAGTCACAACACAAACTCTCTTGATGAATGAGGCAATGGAAACTGGGCAAACCATCTTATTTTGAGTTGCATTAACTCTTAAACTCCTCCCTGTCCCAAATATGGCTTATCTTTTTTGGAAAAAAAGGTTTTGATCAAGCTTCTCAGTTTATTAGAAGTTGGTTATTGTGTTATTGTTTAGCTACTTAATTTGTGTCTCACTCTTTTGAGAGCCTATGGACGGCAGCCCACCAGGCTCCTCTGTCCATGGGATATCCCAAGCAAGAATCCTGGATTCCTGCCATTTCCTTCTCCAGGGCATCTTCCCAATTCAGGGATCCAACCCACATCTCCTGCATTGCAGGTGGATTCTTTTCCACTGAGCCACCAGGGAAGCCCATGGAAATTGCTTAGGATTTGTCAGTTCATACGGACTGGCTTAAGAAAATCTGTGTGCTTAGTCACTCAGTCGTGTCTGACTCTTTGTGACGCCATGAACAGTAGCCCACCAGGCTTCTCTGTTCATGGGATTCTCCAGGCAAGAATACTGGAATGGGTTGCCATTTCCTTCTCCATAAGAAAATTTATAGGACATAATATTTAGGTAGGCTGCACACTCTGGACTCAAATAGAGCTTCATACTGGAAACTTCTGGTATAGGATTTCTCTGCTTGCCAGGAGAGGTGCCAGTGTTGTTGGATTCCTTGCACAATACTCTCTTGTTCTTCACACCAGCAGAATTTACTACTAGTAAGCAGTATATAAACTCCTACCCCTATTCAATATAACAAAAGTAAGAATATAGATATATTCATTAAGCGGAACATTCAGAAATACTGTGAAAGAAAGAACTGTTTAGAAACACAATTGTGTTAGGGTTCTCCAGAGAAACAGAACCAAGAGGATACATATATGGCAAAAGAGATTAATTTAAAGGATTTGGTTCATGTGATTGTGGGAGCTGGCAAGTCTGAAATCTGTAGGTCAGACCAGCAGGAAACAAGAGTCAGAGCTGCTGTCTTGCCTCCAGAGTCCATAGAAGGGATTTTTATGTTATCCTGTTGAGTAATATTCCTTCTACTCTGGTAAATCTCATTTATTTGCATTGAAGGCCTTCAGATAATTGAAGACCACCCATGTTATTGAGGGTAATCTTTTCTTGAACTTCTAATTATAAATGTTACCAACATCTACAAAATACCAGTCACAGCAATATCTAGGCTAGTGTTTGAACAAACAACTGGGCACCACAGTCTGACCAAGTTGACACATAAGGTTAACTGTCACAACTACCTTCACTCAATAGTATTTCCTAAGTAGGTTTAAAAATATAAATTCCCTTAGTGAACACCATAAAACATGCTTTTAATAAGAAAACGAATCCCTGCATTTTTATTTTTCTTTGCTCTTTTCAGTCAGTTGTGTGGTGATGGGGATGGGTGGGGGTGAGGGAGAGAGGATTGGATGATGGTCTTCAGGTGTGCAAGTCTGCTTAATGATGTCACATATCTATGCTAGAGTACTGGGGACAGGACCCTGTGTCCATTCAGGAGGATCTAAAGATGAGCAAATGAGTTGCTCACAATCTAGTGGAAGATAGAGATAAAAACAATCCACCTGACATGTTACATGTTAACTTATATGCAGAGTACATCATGAGAAACGCTGGGCTGGAAGAAGCACAAGCTGGAATCAAGATTGCCAGGAGAAATATCAATAACGTCAGAAATGCAGATGACACCATCCTTATGGCAGAAAGTGAAGAAGAAATAAAGAGCCTCTTGATGAAAGTGAAAGAGGAGAGTGAAAAAGTTGGCTTAAAGTTCAACATTCAGAAAACTAAGATCATGGCATCTGGTCCCATCGCTTCATGGGAAATAGATGGGGAAACAGTGGCTGACTTTATCTTTTTAGGCTCCAAAATCACTGCAGATGGTGACTGCAGCCATGAAATTAAAAGACACTTACTCCTTGGAGGAAAGTTATGACTAACCTAGACAGCACATTAAAAAGCAGAGACATTACTTTGTCAACAAAAGTCTGTCTAGTCAAGGCTGTGGTTTTTCCAATAATGTATGGATGTGAGAGTTGGACTATAAAGAAAGCTGAGCACCGAAGAATTGATGCTTTTGAACTGTGGTGTTGGAGAAGACTCTTGAGAGTCCCTTGGACTGCAAGAAGATCCAACCAGTCCATCCTAAAGGAGATCAGTCCTGGGTGTTCATTGGAAGGACTGATGCTGAAGCTGAAACTCCAGTACTTTGGCCACCTGATGCAAAGAGCTGACTCATTTGAAAAGACCCTGATGCTGGGAAAGATTGAGGGCAGGAGGAGAATGGGATGACAGAGGATGAGATGGTTGGTTGGCATCACCAACTCAATGAACATGGGTTTGGGTGGACTCCAGGAGTTGGTGATGGACAGGGAGGCCTGGCGTGCTGCGGTTCATGGGGTTGCAAAGAGTCAGACACGACTGAGCGACTGAACTGGAACTGGACATGTTACAAATTGTATTATAAATTTCCACAAAAAGTATATAGGCAATAGTGATGTAGGTATATAAAAGGGTGTGGATGTAATTGGGCCCCCATCTGAAAGGAA